GGACTGGGTTTCCTTTGGATTATCTCTGCTTTAGACCCTGTGTGATAACACAATTTACCTCTCCCGAATTGAAGCCTAATTCGGGCTGCATCCGGGTCCTATCTCATGGCTTTTGTTGCCAAATCTACCATCCGAGTACAGCCCAGCTCCCACACTTCTGTGGCCATTTTTCAAAGCCAGAAAGCTCACACATAACTCAACATAAGTTAACAGTGGCATTCTTTAACTGTGTCACCTTAACACATGGGAACAAGAAGCCTATTAAAATGGAGAAATGACAGCTTTCCTTCATTCCAGCCATGAAATGGTAGGACAAAGGATATGTTTGACATTATAGGGATGGGGAACCAGACTGGAGACAATGCAGGGTTTTATTTGTTTATGTATTTGTTTGTTTGTAGTCTTTATTTATTTATTTATTTATTTATATCCTGCCTTTTCCCCAGTTCTGGACTTAAGGCACCTTACAATCATTAAAACAAATATATTTAAAAATTAGCAACATACAAAAGTTATAAAGTAATTAGAACATCATAACATTCATACCAATTAAAACAAATTAAGAAAACAAATTAAAGTCCAGCACATTATACATTGCCTATTTCCCCTGAAAATGTTGAAGAAGGAGAAAGAGGAGCAGCCGCCACTGCCAGCTCTGACCCTTTAGATGTGGCTGCACTATAATTTCCAATCTTCCCAATTGTTTGATGGAAGCACCATCTAAAGGGCCACAGCTTTCCCATTCCTGTTTTATTACTCTCTCTGTGTTTCTATATGTGCCTTCAAATCACCTATGGATTTATGATATCTATATGAATTTCATAGGGTTTCCTCAGGCATGGAAGATTCAGAAATGGTTTTGCCAGTTCCTTTCTTTAAAATAGAGCCCACAGCACCTGATATTTATTGGTGGTCTCCCATTCAAGTACTAATCATGGCTGACCCTGCTTAGTATCCAAGATCAGAGGGGATCTGTTGCCTTTAGGGTATTTAGGCTGGTAGTCCTGACTAATCCTCTTGAAAACTGTGTTATAACTATGGTGCTAGTGAAGCTCAAAGGATAGGATAAAAGGATAGGATAAAGAACACACACATGTGTGTGTTGTGTGCCTTCAAGTCATTTCCAACTTTTGGTGGCTCTAATGCAACCCTATTGTGGGGTTTTCTTGGCAAGTTTTGGTCAGAGGAGGTTTGCCATAGCATTCCCCTGTGGCTGACAGAACGTGATTTGCCTAAGACCATCCAGTGGGTTTCATAGCCTAGCTGGGATTCGAACCCTGGTCTCCAAAGTCATAGTCCAACAGTCAAACCACTATGCCATGTTGGCTCCTAAAGAATACATAAATGGATACATAACTGAATCTTGGTCTCTTTATATATAGTCTGTGGCTCGAAATGCACTTAGTAGAGAGGAAACACCACAGAATTTAATGGAGACTTGTGTTAGCTTGTCTTGTAGACTGCTTTTAGATAGCAGTTGTCTGTATGGAAGAGGATTTGGATTGTATTCTAGAGTCCAAAGGGAAAGGGATTTAACCTATCTAAACCATGGCCATGCCCCATTTTGCTGTGGTAACAAAAACACACAGAACTCAGTATATTGTCCTTGTAATTTCTGGTTTCTGAACAAACCAACTGCTGTAGGAAGGCAATTTTCTCTTTTCAGGCATTACTATAAAGGGGTTTTTTTTTAAGGTATCAAGTCTGAATTTTCCATGCTACTATCAATGACTTCATAGACCCTCAACTCTCACCTTGAATGTGTCATGTGAGAAAGAAATGAACTAATTTGTAGTTACATCTTTTATGTTGTATCTCATAAAAATGCAGTAATCTGTTAAATTCTGGATTATTTCTGCAATGTGTTTTGGACCAAAATGAAATAAAACAGAAGCAAAGAAGTACTTAAAATTATTCCTGGTCAAATCAATAGTGCTTTTAAAAAGTTTGACTGGGGTGTGTGTGTGTCTCCACTGGCAAAATAAAGTGGCTTCAATCCACCTTGAAGCCTGAGTGTTCAGATGGAGCATGACACAAAATCGGGGTAGAATTAATGCAAAGCTGCTTCCAGCCACTTTGAAGGTGGGGCATTTAGAGGACACATGTGGTGAAGGCAAGCGGTTAACAGAATGAAGCCTCATTCTGGGACTAAGAACTGGAGCAAAAAGAAGCCCTGATACTCCGATTTAATGCCGGAAATGTGCACTTGCATATAAACACCCCGGCACCAGTGCAGGGCCACAGCAAAGTAAAAAAAGTGAAATTGCAAGAACTCCTATTGACCAGGTCATGATAGTCACAGGCCCTGGGGATTCTGTGCCAAAACCTGAGACCTAGGGATTTAAGTACCAACCACAGTTGCTCACAGATTGTCATTCACACATGTCATAGTGACTCTATCATGGGGTTTTCTTGGCAAGATTTGTTCAGAGGGGGTTTCCCTTTGCTTTCCTCTGAGGCTGAGAGAGTGTGATTTGGCAAAGGTCACCCAATGGGTTTTCATGGCCAAGCAGGCATTAGAACCGTAGCCTCCAGAATCCTAGTCTAATACACAAATCACTACACCACACTGGTTCTCTCCTTGTCTAGTACCTAAATGTTATTTACACAGAGTAGAATCCAAATGTGAATATACCTGTTAGCTCTGAAATACTGTCTACAGCCCATTGTCACAGTCAGTTCTGCTCAATGCGCCTCAAGACATTTTACTCCCTGAGATAAGGAACAAGATGGTGTTCCATCCTAATCCAGGTGGACTGGAAATGCAATTTTTCTTCAGCGTTGGTGATAGGAAAGTGTTTGTCACTGCACCTGAAAACATCAGGCTAGCTTAGGAAGTACAGCACAGGCTACATGGACTACAGCTTTCTTCCCTAATATCTTCTTGCCACCTGCCAACATTTGCCATATGAGACAGGTGCAGATCTAGCCTCAGAATTTACATTTCTGCCTAGACACTGCTTGTAACTCATGACATCAGCCACAATTAGACTTTTCAGCACTGGACAATATTTTTACAGATTTTAAAGAATAACAATGGTGCGTGAGCTGAAATGTCTGTTATTTGTTTTGTACAGCATGTTAGCTGGGCCTCCCACTAATTGCTTGCTTGAACATTTCACTCCTACTCTCAATACTTGCCTCTAGTAGGTACAGTACAGTCACACATCACTATCAATAAATATGCAGAGTAACCCCAGCATCTGGATTTCATCCACATTACTTATGCAACTAGTAGAGGCTTGGGGAAGAACATATTATTCTAGTCTCAGTTTCATGGGTAACTTGTTAGAAGTTTAATGTGTCTTTCAGTTAAAGCATAAGTCATGCTTGGGTAACCAATTATATACAGGTAGGGAAATCCTGTTTATATTTTAAAACAGGAATCATTTCAAATCCTCAA